TATATATTTAGCTTGGATAACTGTACTGCTGATTTCTACTGGTCTTTTGAAAGGAACAGCTAATACTTAAATTTTTTCTCTACCATTTATTTATCAGTTCTGCATGCTTATACCTGGTAATCTGAACAACTAACTTGAAGATGACAATATACAATATAACAAACTATTGAATTCCTATCATCTTCTTTAGTGAAATCCTGTATCATTTCTAATGTTTCTTTAGTGTTTTTTATTCTCTTCTAAAAAATTAAAAATAAATTTTAAACACATGCACCAAAAAACCTTAACATTTATTTATTTATTTTTTTTGGGCGGAACCGGGGATTGAACTCAGGTCCTTGAGCTTGCTAGGGAAGCGCTTATTCCACTGAGCCATCTCCCCGGCCCAACATTTGATAACATAAAGGTTATATATGATTAGGCTAATGTGTATGTTTCTATGTGTTAATTTTCAGATTTATGTTCTATTTTAATTGGCTTGTACAGAAATAGCACTCATGATAGTGTATTAGCTGTAATGTTTTTTGTTCACATGGCATAAACTAATTTAAATTGGTTGTCACTGGGTGTGGTGGCACACAAGGGTAAATAGTGTACTGTCTCACTGGTCTGAGAAACTGAAAATGTAAATAAGAACCAAATTGTACAAGAGATGTAGTGAAACAGGAAGAAAATGTTCAAAAGGGAAGGCCACCTAGGGAAAAAGGAATGGGAAAGGAAGAGAAAAAAAAAAGGAAAGAAGGATGAAATGGAAACAAAGTTTTGTGAGTAAGGAAGGGAAGAAGGGTAGAAGGTAAGGGAGGGAGATGGGAGGTAGAAAAATAGGTACATTAGGTACGTGTGATGAATTCCCTAAGATGAATGCGATCATTGCACATACCTAAATTGTACCAATAAACTTAATTAAATTAAAAAATAAATGCATAACTTTAAAAATTTAAGTTTATAGATTTAAGATCCCACAATTTTAATCCATACAAAGTAGCAAATAAGTGATCTCTTTTAATATAATATACATCTAGATCTTTGACATAAAATGATCAAAATTTTTAACATCTCTTTAAATTTGGTCTTGCCAACTAAAAGTCAATCTGTATCTATTGGCTTAGATTAAGTATTCTGTTATTGTATAAATCACTTGTATGCTAGGTAATAAAGTTTATTTGTGATTAGTAATACTGTTTCCTAAACTTATAGAAGGTCTAAAGATGTCATTTAATTCTTGTCAGTACAGTTACACCCTATAAACCTGTTTAAGGAATGGAAATTTTGCCTTAAGAGTAAAAATTAAGTAAATATATATAAAGATACCTATATAGTTGTGATGCTTATTATTGCTAACCTCATGGTACCATATAGTAAATACATTTGTGTTTCCCAATATATTACGCCTTTAGAGGATACAAAACTTAGAAAACATATTATCATTCTGATGACTTCCAGACTAAAGTTGTTTACAATCATAAACTTCTCAGGTGTATGCTCATGTGATTGTGATATAACAGTCAAATGGACCTTGGCCTAAACACTGTCCAGCCCAAACAGTGTCAGTCTAATGACTAGAGATTAGACATTAAGAACCTATGATGTCATCTACAAACAAGTGCTCTCTACTTAAAAAAGATAACACATTTAAATAAAGGTTTATATAATTTAATATCTCATAATTAGAAAACATAACCAACTGATAAAATTTCAAATGCATTTCAGAAAATATCAAAAACAATGGTTTTGATACAATAACATCACCATAATTCATATGGCAAAATGCTATATTTGACCTTGATTTCAAATTTTTCCTGTAAGACTTTACAATTTATATGTCAACATTCTACATATAGGAATTTGTCTTCTAAAACAACCATGAACGATAAAAGAGATGGCAGTTTTCTAGTCATTCTTATATTTCAAAGTACTCAAAATTCAGACAAGATTATGATAGCTAAACCTACTGCTCTCACTTCAATCCTGGCAACTGGGGGCCTGGGAGATGGCTCATTAGAATAAGTGCTTCCTTGGCAAGCACAAGGGCCGGAGTTCAATCCCCGGTTCCGGAAAAAAAAAAAAAATACTGGCAACTGACCTTCTGGGTATTTAACAACTGAGGCTTAAAGACCAAAGCTAAAAAAGGGCAATTGCAGTAAGAGGGAAGCCAAAATTTTGGCTCTGACCCTCTAATGTCAACTAGGACCCACGACATGAGGGGATCCCACTAAAAGGAACTACAACTCTGTGATTCACCCAAACTCTTGAGAGCTTGCTGCATCCCAGAGAACAGGGAGTTAACCACTGTATATTGTGCTAAAAGGAGAGCCACTCAAAGGAAAACGTCTCCCATGCTTCCAGGGGAAGTCATATGGTTAAGAAGATCATGACCCTTCCCGGTGGCTGACACTGGTAAAATAAAACAAATAAACAAAATTTATAAGCTAAGAGGCTCTGTGCATGGTCCCAAAAGTAATCCTTGAGGAGCCTTAACTGACTTACATATAGGTGAAGAAAAAGATTAATTTTAATTAACACAGCCTCACTTTAACTTGGTCCTAAACACTCAGTGGAAAAGTATAACCAAAAGGATACAGAAAGACAGTAATAGTAATATAGGCTAGACATAAAAAGGGGGCTCCAAGTCCTATACGGACTTGCTAACATTCTCCAGCTACACCTACAACTCATCCCTCTTATGGTTCAGTAAAACCAAAAGGGCAGGGGATACAGCTTAGAGGAACACTGCCTGGCTGGCAAGTGTGAGGTCCAGAGTCTGATTCCTGGTACAAAAAAATAAAACACTAGAAGAGCCACAGTAATAGCTACAGAGATACAAAAATCTTTAAATTCCTTAGCTGAAATAGTCCTTCAAAACCAGAGTCTTTGATCTTTTGACCAAAACCTGTGGGACCTGTGCACTGAGGAACCTGTGTACTGACAAACAAAACTCGCTGTCTTTGGATAAATAATTGACATTAAGTAGAAGACCTTAAGACTCTAAGGAAAAATATCCAACTTATAGGTAACCTCCACAAGAAGCATAGGACCCAGTAAGCTATGTACTAACTACTGTACGCTAGAATGTAATAGTTGGTCATATGCCAACTCCTACAGTGTGTCTGGGCCTGGCTCCTCTCACTAATCACCCCAATCTGTCTTTTTTTTCTTTCTGGCTTTTATGTTGGCTGTACATTCTTAATTTCTTGGCAAAACTCACTTCTCATTTAGAGACTGTCAAACTTCAAGTGGTCATGCAGAGGGAGCCAATGATGAATGTGCCAAACTCCTGTTACTGGGGTCTGCTAGAGTGACCCTCTGAAGAGAGCTCTCTCTGTATGACTTCTACCAAATGCCCCTTAGATGAGCTCTTTGAAGAAAATCTCTGCCAGCCTCCCCTCTCAGCAAAAACTAGCTAGATGTAAACAAATCTCACCCATCTTTCCTGATGGCTGTTAGAAATACTTCTTCATAAGGGGACTCTTAACATGGTGCACCTAAGATAAAGCCAGCAATGTTTTTAAAAGAAAACAGCACACACTGAATTAAGAACTAATCCAAGCAGGAAATGAACATAGTCCAGTGGTTGAGTGCTCAACTTGGCATGGGAGAGGCTCTGGGCTCAACCCCTAGCACCACAAAAAGAAATGTAGAAGAAAATATAAGGAAAAAAAGATAAAAAGTTAAGATAAGAACAGAGAGATAAGCCCCTGGTAGAGGACATATCAAAGCTCATAAAGTGGCTGAAGAGGCAGGATGGCTTGGGGCCATCTGGGAGCCCCTCCCCCCCAAAAGGAGAGATAAGTACCTTTCCTCACAGCACACACTAAGAGCTAGTTCAAACAGCAAACTGAGCTTAAGAATGTAAAAGAAAACACAAGAAAAAAAAGACTAAAGGTTAAAGTAAGAATGGAGAGATAAGAATCTTTCTTCCCAGGTAAAAGTTTCTTAGCCAAAGCATGTTACATTAATAGCTCCTCCCTAACTTCCAGGCTGGACCTAGAGAAACAGGAATATAGGGTGTCCAGTCAAGCATTCAACTAAAGGTGAATCATTTTTAAACTCTACAACCCCTCCTGTGCTCTGCTTAGCCACGTAAAGTCAGAACAAAGAAGGCAATTTGCACTTCCATCTAGAATGGGGAGGGGTGGGGGTTGTTTTTTGGTTTGGTTCGTGTGTTTGTTTTTATAATCCCCTCTTGATGTATATCCACCAAGAACTCTTTTCTTATTTCCAATAAACAAGGTAGCCCGGCTAGCTCAGTTGGTAGAGCACGAAACTCTTCTTTCCAATAAACATTCTTCAAAATTAAAAACAAAAACAAAACCCAGCTGTTACTACTGACCAACATGATTACTGAACAATGTGCTTATGCAACAGGTGTGCTCTGATTGTTTTAGGAAGAAAGGGGGAAAAAAAAGAAATGAAAAAAGAGAGGGGAGGTGAAGGGAGGAAAGGAGAAGGGAGAGGAGGGGAAGGGAAGGGAGGGAAAGAAGGGAGGAGAAGGGAAGGAAGGGGAGAGGAAGGGAAGAGAGTGGAGGAGAGGGGAAGGGAAGGGAGGGGAAGGGAGAACAGGGACAGGGAAGAGAGGCCAGGGGAGGGGAGGAAAGGGGAAGCTTACCAGCCAAGCTTTCTATCCCCTCTGTGATAGAAAGTAGGGCAACATGACCAGAGGTAACACTTGTCCAAGATAATGAAACAGCTCCAAGCTCTGCTGGGCTGCAAGGTTGCACCTGTATGGAAGTCATTTGCTAGTAGAAGTCTGGTCTTGGGAAGCCACAAAGACTCAGTGAGATTGAGGTGAAAGAGCAGAAACTGAAAATTCCGGAAAAAAAAAAAATTCCTATAGGGAAGTATGAGCCAGTGCCATCAGAAGCAAGAACAGGGAGTGCTGCAAACTCCTACTCAGCAGAGGAACATCTGCACTATAACAGCACAAGGTTTCGGTTACGGATAGAAAGGTTCAGTGGTGAAATTTCAGTATCTGTAAGTAGAAAAGCAGAGCAGATTAAGGGGATTACCTATTATAAAAACAAAATATGGACAGATACACAGCTATATATCCTTTATAAGACTCTCAAAATCATTATCTCTTTTGATCTTCACTTCAGTCAGCTCTGCAAGTAAAGAAGGTAAGAAATATGAGGTCTAAAATTACCCTGTAACCTCCAGGCCCAAAGAACAGCAACCACGTTTTCCCCACCAAAATGTCAGTCCCACTAAAGAGAAGGTGGCCAATTCCAGCTCTATCACATACTACTTACGTGTCCAACCACGTCACTTCAAGTATCTGCCCAATTTCTCCTGTCAAATGGAGATATTATTATCTCCATTTGACAGGAGAAATTGGGCAGATACTTGAAGTCACATAAAACACTTTGTGGGACTAAGATTATGGCCGTTTCAGTTACTTCCTCAGTTATCTACTAAATGTGGTCTTGAACAAGTTATTTACTTTCTGGAGCAGCCTGATTCCTCACCAGTGAAACTGGAAAAAGTAAACAACGCTTACTTCTCTGAGTGACTTATGAGGACTGAAAGAGAAATGAAAAGTACAGCACATATTAGCTGAATGCGAATGAACCACAGGCCTCCGAAGTTTGGGACAGTCTGAAGCCCACTTCTACTTCCATATTTTAACTGTACAATCTTGAGAAAACAGCAACCTCTTTGATCCTCAGTTTCCTCATTAAGATGTGACTGACAACAGTACCTAGGCTACTCAATGGCTGGGAAGATGCCCTGTGTGCTGGCACACAATATGTAGCAAGAGCCTCTGTTCTGGTTGTCTTTTCCTTTGCTCCCCATAAGGCTGATGGGAAAAGTGCATAAAGCAATACAGAGCCAAAGTGAGGCCCAGGCCAGGAGCCGCGATGCATCACCTGTACCGAGCGACCAGTCCTCGCCCCGCGCCTCAGCACCAGGTGGAGAGCATCCTCATCCCTGCTGGTGGAACGCTTCTCTGCAAAGGCCAGGAAGGTGCGGGTGGAGGGCACGTACAGCAGGGCTGGGATCCGGTAGGTAACCCCTTTCTTGTTTTCCCGCTGGAACAGAGGGATGTTGGAGCATGATGTCACCTCTTCCATGACTTCTGAAAGACAGGAGGCAGCTCAATGCGTGTCCAAACCCAGATGCTGGCCTACAAACAAGTTCTCTATCATTCCATGTCTAGAGGGTACAAGGGAGACACAGATGTACTCAAATATTAATTTTTTCTACAAAGGGAATACCATAATTTCAACAGCACAAAGCAAGCTATATGCACTCTCATTTAACAACACCAGTCTCCAGACCCTGGAGGAATCCCACGCAGCCCGTGTCAAGCGTGTCTCTCTCCAGAGGTCTTGCATATGCTTCTACTTAGCACTCGGGGGGGGGGGGGTCAGTAGGTAATCTTCTCCCCCAAATCTATCCTATCAGACAGTGTACACCCAACAGAGGATACAGGTTTCTAAGAACCTAGCTTCGCGCAGAGATCTTTGCTCCAAGTAGATGTGGACGTGCAGCTTCTCGTACAATAAAAGCGAACGAGCTTGTGCCAACAGCAAGCTTACTGAAGCTCAACTTTCTGGGCGAGATGAGCAAACATCCAGAGCAGGCAGGGACAGGTTAAGGGCTGAACTACTCTGGTTTTCAGTTTGCTTTTAGTTTCCAGGCCACTAAGTAGCAAAACCTTCCTCAATACCAGTTTTCCAAAATTCCAGCTGGAGTCTTTTTGTAACCATAGGTCCCTTCTGTAGTAACAGATTTCCTACTCTCATACAAACCTAAGGCTTACGATTGGCTAGAGGGAGAAAAATCAAAAATAGAATAGCTAAGAATACTCTCCTTGCCACCTACCCCATTGGGCGGCTCTGACTCAACATGCCCTCAAAACAAGTGGAAGTGCGAACCCGGCCTCAGACCCCGCTGCAGAGGCGCAGGGCCCGGCTGGCGCGGAGGTCTCCCTGCCTCGCTCACTGGCGCGGGACTCCGGGTCCCCGGCGTGCCTCGAGGCGGAGCTGGGCGCGAGGGGCTGCTCCACGGGGGCAGGCCGGGTCCTCAGGTCTCGGGCACAGAAGCCCCGCAGAAGGACGGGCACCAGGGCTGGGGAGACCGCCTTGGCCGGGAGGAACAGGAAGAGACGAGAACTGCAGCGGCAGAGACAAGCCCCGAGAAGTACGAACCGTGCGGCTGGCCAGGAAGTGGCGGCAGACACACCTGAGAGCAAATGTCTGTCGGAGAGATGGCAGGGACTGTCGCTTGCTCATAGGCAGGGAACGGGGACAGACCTCCGGGCACCAGGCGGAGCCTCCGCGCGGTCTCCGCCCCGCCTCCTCCGCCCCGCCTCCTCCGCCCGCTCCTCCCCCAAATCCCCTCAAAACCTAGCTCTTCTTTGATTGGTCGGCCTGTTAGTAAGTATCACCTCCTAAAACTTCCCTGGGTAGGCTGGGAGTGGAGCAAAGGTTCCGTGGGCTCTGAGAGGACTACCAAAAGGAACGACGCCCCTGTGCGTTGGAC